GGGGCCTACGGTATCGTATAGCACAAAACAACGGCGTATTTGGCGACAGCGACGTGCACGCTGGCAGCGACAGAGCAGAGTCTCTGAAGCACAGTGGTCCGCAACCGCATTTAAATGCCCACAAAATTGTAGCGAAAATATTAAGTAAACAATGACTATACAAGATTAATTTTATCTTGTGCTGAAGTTAGTCTTTCGACAATTTCAACACTAAGATCTATTTAACTTCAAAGATTGATAGATGTGATTACGACAAATTAAAATTTCACAAAGTTGAATTGAACAAACCTCTAAATGAATGATTTTATAACTTTCTTAAAGCTAGTATTCAAAATTCATTGTGAACGTAGACCATTGAATACTTTCACAATTAATTCCTGATACAAAATTTCTTAACTTTATTAATTTATATATTATTTGCAACAACTCTAAGACAATTACTGCAATTAAACCATATTTCTTCATAAACCCTAGTAGAAAACAATGTAAAGTTTTCAAATATATTAAGATGCCGTAATTACTAGTCCTCTAAAGCAAACAACAGCTAAACTTAGAAAGCATTTCTACATTTCATATATATTTTACTATTCAGAAATATATTTCTGAAAAATAGCTGCGTAATTTAAAGAAATTTGTTGGGATAATAAGAAGAAGAATATATCGGAATATTTATTTAAAGTAATTATTTCTGTAAGCCAAAACATTCTTCTAATTTTCCGAGCGATTTTCATATTAAGGCGATTTTCTGAGCTTCGGGGCAACTTTTTTCAGAGGTTATAATCATATCTAATGTCCATATTGTCAAATTTGTATTGAAAAATTATGTGAGATATTTTTTGCCCATTAACATTTTTGCTCAACACTTTCAGATAACAATGTGCCACTGTGCGTTGCTTTTTGATTAGTTTGACGTTGACTTGTTGCTGCCAACGCTGACTGCGACTTCAGCGGCGAGTGGTGGGTGCTATGGGTCTCAGAGTCAGACTCTGGCCGTCTCTGCCTCTGCTTCTGCTTCTGCTTTTGCATCAGCTGCCTGCTTTCTGCTTCGGTCTCTGGGAGCTCTGCTCTGTAGCCGGCTTTGGCTCCGGCTCTGCCTTTGGCTCTGGCTTGGCTTCGGCTTTGGCGTGACTTGTTGACGATTTGTTGTTGATTTTGTTGTTTTTGTTTTGTTTGCTGCGAGACTGCGCGCTCTGCGCTTGGAGGGCACGAACCACAGATCCGATATTTTCCAATTTGTATGCATAAATTCACACACAGATGCACACACGACAAAAACAAAAAAAAAAAAAGAAAGAGGGAAAATAGGGTGCGGAGCAGGAGGTGGAGGAGAGTCAGGAGGCATGTGCATGTTCTGTGCCTCTGCCCAGAATCAACTGCCTGTCGCTGTCCAAGCGCAAAACAAAAGAATCCAAACAAACATAACAAATGTACACACAAGTTGCGAGTACTCACATACTCATGAGAACACTCGTACGAGTACGAATTCGAGTGTGCGTTCGAGTATCAGTATGAGTATGAGTATGAGTATGAGTATGAGTATGGGTATGGGTACAACTACGAGTACATGTGCGCATCTGGTTTAGGGCATGTGGCTCATAATGATGACAATGACGGCAAATTGCGGGTGGCGTTCCGTGGGTTGTACGAGAAGTTTCCAGTTGTTAACTTGTTGCACATACAACATTTTAACCATTTTTATTTTATGTTATTTCAGCAGTTTTGGTTGCAATAGATACTTATGGCGTTTACAAAATGTTAACAATTCTAATTTTATTTATTATCAGCAGTTTTGACGACACTAAATTTACACTATTGAGCATTATCTATGTACTTTGTATGACGTGGCAATGTGGCAATAAAATACATATATACATATAATGTTTTATTTGCATTTTGATAAGAAGTGTTGTAAAAAAGTAAGCTTTATATTGGCACCGATAAAAGTTGAATTCATTGAATGGCAATGTGAATGAATCTAATACGGAAATAGATAAAGATAAACTGAAAATTTGAAAATTGGAAACCAAACTCTCAAGTCTTTCCTGTTGTAACGTCAACTTCAACTTATTTTTGATATATTAGAAGTCAATGCTAAAGAACAAATGGATAACAAACCCTCCCTCGTATCTGGATAGATAAGGCAAATTATAGGGTATGGCAAACTATTTGATACTACGCCTTCATTAAAACACAACTTGATATAAGCCTATGATTGATTAAAAGCTTTTACATATTATATGTCTTTCAATAGAATATGACTTGAAAAGTGTATTGAAAAAGAAAATAAGAACTTAACTGAAATGACGAAATATCTATGTAAAATACTTAAATAAAATAAATTTAAAACTGGCTTGAAATTTACAAAATTTCCCTGAAATAAAAAATTGCCTGAAAATTAGAAAATAACAACACGAAGCACGGTAAAAATGACTTTACTTAAAAAGTCTTATTTTATTTGCCAGATATAATTTCTATTGGTAAGAAATATATCTCTAGCAAGGGTACAAAAGGTATAAGATATAAATGACTTGCTCTGAAAACTAGCAAATGTTTCTTGTTATTAAAAATAATTTCAAAACATACGAAAAAAATAATTACTTAAAATTAAAAAGGCTTTTTTATTTATCAGAAATATTTTCTATAATTCAGATATATATTTGCAGAAAAAATCTTTGCTGATTTGTTAAGATGAGCCCTTGTCATCAAGAGTATGCAAATTTTCTACAATTCAAGGCGATATTTTCACATATAATATTATAGAGTATATTATAGTATAGCTTTTTATTAGGATTGGCATACACAGAAATATTGTTATGTATTTCATACCCCTTTGGCAGCTTTGTGGGTATTTAATTTGCCTGTTGCCAGCGCAGTTCGGCGCTGTACCGCTTGCTCCGCCCCCTGCCACTTCCCCTTTCATTCACATAATGCGAGCAGCGCGTCGTCAAGCTCCAACAGACAACAGCAAGGGCGTGCACGCCTTGCCCCCTTCCCCTTTCCCCATCCCCCTCGCTCAACGTATGAATGCATATGCATATAGTAAAGGGGTCGCAGGGTCAGTTGTGTGTTTCTGCTAACAGCAGACAGCAAATGGACAGACGACAGTTATTATTGCCGCAGCACTCTTCTGTTTTTCTGCTTTTGTTAGATTTTGTTATGGTCTGTTTTCGCTTATGCGCTGAAATGTGCGCCATGGATTAAAATAAGAGAGAAATGTGAAGAAACGGAGAAACAGAGAAACAGAAACAGAGGCCGAAACAGAGGCAGAGGCAGCGGCAGAGGCAGAACGGCCAGCGATGACTTTATGACATTATTGACAATACGACAAGTCGTCGCTGCGACGGGGGAGAAGTGAGTGAGGGAGGCATGGTTCTTCAGTTTCAATGACAATGTGAATAATGAGCTCACTCTCTAATGCCACCGGACAGGCATTAGTTGTCATAGAAGCTGCAGGCACAGTACGAGTGCCTGCCTGTCAATGGAAAGGACAGCAAAGGACAGCACTGAATAGAACAGAATAGCACAGAAGAGGACAGAACTGGACACCACAAGTTGATGAATATGGGCTAAGACTGTCAGTTTGATCTATATTAAGTCGCAAGGTATATATTTATAGAGTGTGGGTCATTATTTTTATACAGAAACTTAGTTTTGTGCAATGTCTTCTTTCAACAACTTTAAAACTAAAGACTTAAAACAAGAAGTGAGTGGCAAATGTAAGCACTCAATTTTCATTCCAATAGAAGCTTCGTTTTTCAAAATTTAGCTTAAAATGACTATTCAAATTTTAATGATACCAATAATACCATAACTGTACAAAAGTAACAGGAGAGTGACAATGCTAGCAGCATGCTTATAAATGTAACAGATACGGATAATGCATAAAGACATAAAGCTTAACATAGCAGGCACATCACGCTTTTAAATCTAACAGGAGAGTGATAACCCTAACAGCAGAGCACTACACATAATGCTTAACATGGCAGGCACAGCATGCTGTTAAGGTAAGCTCTGTTAAATGAATTTCAAGGTGCTTTTGCTGCTTACCTGCTGTGCAATTTTGCGGTGTTTGACTCTTGCGTGTCAAAAATGGCGTACCGCAGTGCGGACAAGCATCCTTTTCCATTTCCGGTTCTCTTCGCACGCTTGTTGCTGTTGTTGCGCTGCAAGCTCATTAAATTAAGCACTCGTTGTACACTCAAAAAAATTGCTTAGCATCGTAGAAAATCGCTCAAACATTAAAATTTATTTTTTTTTGTAATAATGAAATAAGTGACAAAAAGAAGAGGGAGGGGGTTTCAATGCACCAAGGAAAAAGAAAGTGGCTACTACTTACTACCTGCACTACTTTGCGTAATTACTGGACACTGGGTGATTGGAAGCTAGGTTGTCCTAGCAGTTAGGTTGTCCATCCCTACCGACGTCTGTAGAAATTCTTGCGTCACTCCAAGATCTTGGAAGGTGAACACTTTTATTCCTGCGTTCTAATTTGTTCACAGATATACCGAATCTCTCCGATAATCAATCTAGACACGTTCATCCAATCCGCAGGACTTTAAACTGATGTACATTCGTAGAAGTAAAAAGCTAATGTGGACAAAGTCCACTGCGATAGTTCAATGTGCCAAGCAGCGCTCAAGTCGGCGAGGGATTTTCTCTTCCCTTGCTGACAACCGTCATAACCTAATCTAACAAAAAGCGCTTAGTGAATTCTAATGAAAACACCCTGGAAGAAAAGTCCCATTTTCTTAAGATGTTAAGATGCGCTTAGCGCTTTCCTAAATTTTAGGGCGATTTTTCTCTGAATGTACGTTTTGTTTGTTGTTAGCTGTTAGCTGTTGTTGGTTTGAGGCTCACCTGCTGAGTGTCAATATCAGAGGACCTCTCGCCCGCTGTGCTTTGAGCACACTTAACAGCTGCGCATCGCTCAAGGCGACATCCTGCAGGCGCAGCGACGACTGCAAAGGTCAAATCGAATCATTTTTATATGCATATACATATATATATATATATACTTTAACTTAAAGCACAATTTATTGAGTAGCCAGAAAGCACACAATTTCTCTAGATTTAGTTAACTACAAACAATTTGTCATACACTTTTGGACACACGTTTGGCGGGCAGCGGGGGCGGCGACGACGTTTTTGGGCCGCGTCGCAGCGAACAGAACTTAAGCATGTTGCAGGCAGCACTCGACTGACAGCTCTCCAACAAGATCCAAAATCCAGCGCTTAGCTCTGCTCTTTTGGTGGGCGTTAACGCTGGCGATAAGGCGATGGGTGTGATGATAAATCGATGGCCAGTTGACAGACTACAGGGCTACGTCAGCGAGCAGATGCCGCGATGCTCCATGAAGACCTGCAGGCAAGTGCTGTCGACGCGATCGAAGAGCAGGGAACCAAATCGTCTGGCCGTATAGTCGACAATGAGAACCATTTTGCAGTTGATGCACTTGTCGCGATAGTGGAAGAGCAGACCCACCGACTGGTGCACAACGTGATCGACAAAGCCCGGCGACGAGCGATACACCTGATGATTACCCATCTCGACAATCGCACGCGTATTGACCACCAACTTGCTCCGCACATAGGCCGGCAACACCTCCAGTGTTCGGCGCACCTTCGACTGCGTGTAGAGCAGCCGATTCATGATGTGGGGGGGTGCATTGAAGGTATCGTTGCTATCGCGCCGATAGAAGAACACATTGCGAAAGACAAAGCCCGAGGTGCGACCCTCGTCGCACTGCCTCAAATAATCGGCAAGGGAGTTGTGCTTCAGTGGCATTAGCACCTCATCCAGATCGACAACAGCCGCATAGCGATGATTGTCCACGACATTGGCGCGATACACGCAATCATTGAACTGGGCCACAATGCCCGCATAGTGCAGATCCTGCAGATGCGCCTGCACATTCCACGCGAACACATCGGCCAGTCCCAGCCGCTGATAGTGGGCCAGCACTCGTTGCACCTCCTCTCTGGCGTCCACATAGTAGAAGTAGAAGCGTGTCGCACCCTGCAACCGATACATCTCCACAAACTCAACCAGCCGCAACACATTCGAGTAGTTCTCCTGCAAGGGACCCACACACACTGAAATCGTCCGTCTCGATTTCCCAAACATCTCCGTCATATTTCGTGGATAACTATTAAGATGGTAAGCCAATCATTGTTATTATTATTATTATTATATATTTAATGTCATTCACTTAAAAATAACTCCGAAATTTTACAAACTCTTTGGAGAGTTTTAGCTCTATCTTCTATAATTTTTATCATAATTATCTCTCGCTCTCTTTCTCTCTTTTCACCTTACTTTTCAGCATAATTTCTTACTTTCTACGATTACCCAGGCGTGCTCCAATTAGCGAAAACTGAAAAGTTTTCCGTTTTCACTTATGCGTAATTTAGACCAGCCGAAAACGGAAAATAGTTGTTAGAGGCGGAAATTGGACCAAGCTTGACTAACTAAGTTACTTTGTGAGCAGATTATATATATATATTTTTTTAATTTTTAAACTATGTACATATTTACCTGATTTGAACGTAACTGGGACTTAGATGACTGAGTCGATTTGAGGCATAGCTCAATGCAACCGCTTGTGGCAGTCGCACCGTCTTCGCTTTGGGCACATGAAGCGGACACATAATGCTCCATGCCGCAAAACTGTTGTTGTGCACATCGTGCATGGCACCCGCCTCCTCAGCAACAATCTCACGACTGCTGAAGTCCTCATAGCGCACAATGCAACTAATCCGGGAGTCGCGCAGTCTCTCCGGCAAAATGGCAAAAACACGCAACGAGCCAACAGTCACCTGATGCTCGTCCAGCTGCACGTTGTCTGCCATTTGGGAAGGAAACTTTGTTAGTGGATCGTAGAATAAATGTAAAGATCTTCGAAAGATCACTTCAAGAATCGATAATATGAACAAATTAATGAGCAATCTCCTTCTTCTACAAAAAACAAGTACTCATTTCTTTATCTATCTTTATCTATGCATTTTGTGTATATTGAAACTGTTCTTAATCTTAATCGATCTTCCAAATTTAATGACTAAATGGAACACCTTAAACAAAGTCTATAATATTTTATTACGCTTGGTATCAGAATATTACGATCTAATACACAGAAGTTCTAAAATTCAGTTTTTATATTTTCATAAATATTATTGCTCTTCAATTTTTTAGTCAGCTTTTTGTTTCTTTTTTGTTTGTCAGAAATGTATGATAATAATTGATGGGAGACATATTTTAAGCTTCGAACAAAAATGTAGAATAAGATGACTTTCTTGTTTGTTGTACTTATGAATTTTTAAATTTAATTTATTCTTGGTTCTGTTTCAGGTTTCGAAGTTGCTGATTTTTTTCTTTTTTTTTTTGCCAACTGGTTTTAAATGCAAATTAGAAAGTTTCCTCTAGTCAAATGGCTACGAGCAAAAAATTCGCAAATGTTTTTATAAACTGATTAAAAAAATACAAAACTCTTCGAGTGGCTTGGTATAGTTATTAATATTAGTAATAATAAAAAAAATTAAGTTCAGTTTTATACATTTGCTTTTACAAGCTTTAAGCAGAAGCAAATCTCTAAAAATCGAACTGTTAAATACAATTTATTTTTCAAGAATGGATTAATCAGTTATATGTAGACAACTCTATATATACTAATTTATATATTATTTACTTTTAATTGTATATCATTTGATTTGTAACATTAATTTCATTTTGTATGTTCTTTATAAACTGTATTAATAATTCTGTAAGGTTCTTAGCAAAAGTAAACAAATTAATAGATAAATTTAAAAGTATTCGGAAAAAATAGATTGTACAAATTCATTTTGTATCCATTTCTAAAACTTAGTTTTCAAAAAATAGAAACTTTATTGAATCAATTGTAATTACAAAACTGCAAGCGATTCAAGTCGCCATAAGATCGCAAGTTCTTGCAAATAAAAAATGATTTAGGAAAAATCTAAACTTATGATATATGTGAAATCTTAAAATTCTAAAGTTTAATTAAAATAATAGTAACAAGAAAGCTAAGTTAAGAATTTTGTTTGCGCATATTAAAAACACCAACAATTATTATTATTTTTTTTTTTAATTTAAGATAAAAAATAGCTTGAAGTCTAGAAAAAAATAGACCAAGTTTTTGGAAAGAAATACACTTTCTGTTTAATAGGGTAAGCTGCCCTTGCCTTGTATTGTAATTCAAGTCGAGTGGTTTTTTTTCTGAGTGTACTCACGTATGAGATCCGTTCGTATATCAAAGTAGGCGGAATATATCTCATGCCTCAGCGTTGCATTTCCGATACGTCGCCAGCTGTTGTTGTAGTTCCAATGTGGATTCGGCTTCTCATAGATGAGCTGACGCTGCAGCAGTCTCAGATCTTCGCGCAGGCGTTCATCCTACAAAGGCAAAGGCGCAAGGATTAACCTAAGGTAATACACACACACACACACACACACACACCACACACACACACTACGGACACACACACAGCTGAACACTCACAATTGTTGTGCGCATGGAGATATAGAAGAGTATTAACATTGTGATGGCCACCAGACCGGAGAGCATAAAGTAAACATATTGAAAACGATTCTCTTGGGCCGCCAGCATTTTTAATAAATTATATATACATATATATGAATGTGTACATATATGTTTGTATGTTTGTATGTTTGTCAGCGAGAAAGTATTTTTAATTTAATTATTTGATTTCGACTCGACTCGAACCACACCGCACCACATCGAACCGAACCGAGCACGCGACCTTGAGTGGTACACGCAGCCGTAGCACCTTTTTGGTATCCTCCTGGACAAACGTTGGCGTCCAGGTGTGAATTACAGTTATGCGACGACTTGTGCGACAAGCTGCCTACTCGTGACTACAAGTGTCATGCTGCTCTCAGGAGTCGCCACCGTCAGTCGCCAGTCGCCAGTTGCCCGTTGCCTCTGCTGCGGCGCTGTTTATTTATTTTCAACGTTGTCGTTGACGTTGACGTCGACGTAGACGCCAAAGTTGACGCCGGCGTTGACGTTGCGCTATCCAACCCCAAAGCTGCTCCTGTTGCTTGTTTGCGTTGAGTATCGTTGAGTATGGGCCTCCCATCGATTAACGATAACACGAAGAGGGGCAGGGGGTTGGGCGGGGTCTGTCTGCCGGGGCGTTTACAGCTCAAAACAAACGCGCGCGTCTTTCAGTGTCATCATCGACATCGACATCGGCATCAACAGCGGCATCAACAGGGGCAGCCCCGGCCGCCGCATTCTATTGCCAACAAAACCCACTAACCCAACCAAAGCTACACTCGTAAAAACAATTGGCCCATAATACTAATTGGGAAATTAGAAAAGAATAAGGAAACTTTTCTGAAGACGATTAGCTTTGATTTTTTATTGCACCGATTATTGCAAAATGACACTTGCTGAAAAACTATTAAAGTTCATGAAATAAACTCAGGACTTCAATAGTCACAAGCTTCCTTTATTTGTAAACTTTTTTAGTATCTGAAAACGAGTTACACTTAGCACATGTAATTAATGTTGATAACTGCTTAATTCGAGCAGCAGTTAACAATAAAAAGACTTTCTTAAGAGTGAGCTTTTAATATCTCCTTTGAAGTTGGTATTTTGAAGTTGGCTAATTATTCATAAAATAATATATATCCTGCTCTAACCATTAAAAAGAACATCAAATTTGTTCATACAACTACATTAAAATTTGAATATATATTTGGCTGTCAATAAAAATCAGTCAAGCATTAAGCTTTAAAAATTGTATAATAAGTGGAATCTTTCGTTGACAGGAAGCTTTCGGTATTTTTCAGTTTATTTTTGCACATTTTAATGTACGAAAAAAGTTAATGTGCATTTAATAAAATTATATGCACAAAAGATTATATATGCTAAGACGAAAATGTCATAAAAATTGCGTCTTTCTTTTTGCTGACTTTCTTGCATACAGTAAACATCAAGAAAGCTTTAAGAATTGAAACATTTTTTACATGTGTTAAATAAGTAATCATATCTTCTTATTTAGCATGGCGAACTTTTGATAACTTTATAAAAAGCTATATCAATCGTAAGTCTGCAGTTGAGCTTTGCAATATACGAGATTAATCTATTCTTTGGCTTCCCTTTCACTTTCAGCTGGTGTCGCTAGACTATTCGAAATTAGTAGTTACTTTAGCGCGAATCTCTTTATGAATGCTGCGAATTATTTTTGCGAGTGTTTTTGTTTGTGGTTTGTGCTGCCACAGAAATCGAGGCAGAGTCGGTGGACGGGTATCACGGACAGTTTGTGGAGCCCGCAATACGCAAATGAGTGTGGCACCCACGCACTGACTTACACACACAGACACACACGCACAACAAGTGTCTGGGGCAAAGGACTTTGGCGACGCGTATGCAACAAGTTAATCAACGTACGTTTCGCATGAAACTGGCGCCATTGGCGACTCTGTCGGCGCGTCATCCGCAGGCGGCAAGCGTCGGCAGCGCAGCCAGCGTTTGCGTCGACGCGACTTTTCCTATTGCTGTGTGCATGTGTGTGTGTGTGTGTGTGTGTGTGTGTGTGTGTGTGTGTGTGTGTGTGTATAATCGCACTTCAATTCAACACGAGTCGACTTTCGAAATTGAATGTTTTGTTTCTCGATTGGAGTGTCCCACTAACTGTATATATGTTTAGATATATGTGTGTGTGTGTATATATGTGAATGAGTGTATATATGTGAATAAGCAGCATTTCGTGGAATTATAAATTTAAGCTATTTTTACACAAAGAATATAAAGCACAATATATTCCAATTCATTTAATACATTTGTCTAGACTGTCCAGCAGAAAGAATATCGTATCTATTATTAAATGGGGGTGCGGCCCCCAGCATATACATATGTGTGTGGGCACATATTACAAATGTACGAATATATATATTTATAGATATATTTTTTAAAATTTTTGGCATAATTAATTTGTTGTTTTTGTTTTGCAGCGACAAGCGATTTGATGTTATAAATGATTTTTCAAGCAATTCATTAACAAATTCATAATTTTGCTGGTAATAAATTTAAAATATATATTCATATGCATTGGTCGTTGAACATCTTAATTAATTTATACTAAATATTTGTTATATTTTGTCTGATTGGGTTTTTTCTCACAAATTTGTATTATTTTTTTAAATAAATTTAAGTGTTTGATTTTATTCACTTTTTGTACTATTCTGTGTCAACTGGGAACAACAGAAATTATTACGAAATAAATAAATAAATAGAAATCACATATTTTTCAATAGCACTAAAGACACTGTGCAGTGACCGCTACAAAGATCTTTTTTCATGGTTTTGCTTTTCCTTTAATCCAAATAATAAGTATTCGGCTTTGATTCATTTCAACTCATTTCTCATTTCATTAAGCACGCGAAATACTTTTGACTTGTCTTTGGCAATGTGTTCTTAACAGCAGTAATTAAAAGTGGAAGATAGCGAATAATGTGGCAATCGTTGTGAATTAAATACGAATCAATTGAAGCACTCACATACAAATAAAATCGCTCTAGGAGTATAAATAAATAAATAAAGAGCACTAAGTACAAAAAATGCTTAACTTTCAGGCGATAAGAGAAGCGAAACATATTTTTATTAAACAAAAACTCAGCGCAGTAACATGGTTTCAACTGCTGGACGGTCAGGTAAAAACTATTATTATCGCTGCGACCACAAATCAAAAAGACTCCTTATCAGTTCGAAAACTGATTAAAGGTCTTATCGGCAGTAGTTGGTTCCGACCGAATTCGGCGAATATAACTATATATAAATAGTGTAGTACCTGAGTATTGATTGCTATTACACAACTGCACTCGCTCTCTTCCCCTTCCCCCTTCATCCACTGTGCAGCATGACCCGCATTTAACAGTGGCTACCAGCATTATTGTCACTTACGGCTGCCCACCAGTAGCCAACTGTCTGACGCAGGCGCAACAATCCACATCCCAAGGCCTATCGCAACAGCAACCCCGGAATTCTGTGTGAATAGTTGCCAAAAAAATAAAACAAAAATAAAAATAAAAATCTCCCCTTCAAAGTTGCAAGCAAAATTCCAGTTTGAGCGTGAGAAACGAAAGGAGATTGTGCATGCCAAGGATACCTAATTCGAGTTCAAATCTTGACTAATAAATATGCACTCAACTATTGTATGTATATCAACTGGTTGTCGTCTCAGTTCCCATACACCCATACACTATACACTATACGCAAACGTCTCATTGATCTTGTTCATACGGTGGTGGTGGCATTTTTACCCACCACCACTTAACGACTCTTGGGATCGCATACCAGCATAAACATTACCATTTCAATGCATGCCCGTACATAAATACATACACTCAGAAAAAAATCGGCGATGAATTTTAAAAAATCGACATACGTTTGATGGCAAGGATAGCTCACCTTATTATTCAGAAAATATATTTCTAAATATAATTCCAGGATTTTTCTAATATGTGGAAAAATATGTCCAAGGTGTCTTGAATATGTGTCCACAAAAATCGAACATTTGCTTTTTTGTAACTCATATTATTGTTAACTTTATTATTTTAAAATTTGACACAAATATTTTAGATAGTTTTTAAATTCATATAATTTAATGTGGAAAAACTTACGACTTTCAGAGTTGAGAGAGTTGAGTGACTTTCCACAGTCAAGTCAGCCAAACTCTAACATAGCAGTAGAGAGAGTAAATTGATCACTTTTAACTGAATTACGAAGAGTTTAAGAAACAGTTTGTATTTCTAGAAAAATTTGGAGAAATATTTTCTGTTCTTAATAAATATCTTTCCAATTTTGCGAAATATTTTTCGTATAGTTAAAAATGAATTCTACAAGCAATTATGGTTGTCAGGCCGATATTAATTTAGACCGATTTTTTTTTCTGTGTGCAGATGTATGTATCTTGAACCCTCCTCTGTTGTTATGACCCAAAGGCACGCAGGCCACCAGCAAAACGGGGCACGCCTGCGTTCTGGGTGCACATTTTCATTTCATGCGAAAGTATTTTCAATTGTTGAGCGGAACGTGGTTGCCCCTTTATTATTTTTGGTGGTGGTTTTGCCACACTATAAATACTGCAGCAGATCAGCGCTGAGGCACAGTTCAGCTTGGAGTTTTACAAAGTGAAGAACAGTAAATCGATATAAAGGAAAGTAATTCAAGCAGCTGAGCCGCCACTGGTTCCCGGTGGCGGCTAACCAAGCTAAGAATCTAACAAGTACAGTTATTCAAAACCAATTAAAAATAATTATTGTAAGTATGCTTTACAAATATAAAGGTAATATAATAATCCAGACCTTATACGTAGCTGGCCATGAACGAAAACTATGGGAAAAAAGAATATTGTCTCAAATGGAGCATTATAAATTCAACAAATATTCCAGTATAAATGGCAAACTAAAGAATATTTAGAAGGTCTACCAAGTGGCCCATCAAGACAACATCAAATATCGACACACAATTAAAAAAATATTATGAAGTATAAACAACAAATATTCTTAAAAAAAACTAGCAAACTAAAGAATATTTATAAGAACTACCAAATTGCTCATCAAGACAACTTCAAATACCTGCACATCTTCAATAGAATATAATGAGATTTTAATTCATCAAATATTCCAAAAAGAAAGACAAACTAAAAAGTATTTACAAAATCAAGACAACGCCAAATATCGACACATTATTAAAGGAACATGTTTGATCACGGATATATTTATATATACCCGATTATCAGTAAATCTGCTAAACTCCAAATCAAAACTTTTGCGAATTATCTAAAACAAAAACAGCGTTTACACCATTTATAAGATAAGCCAGTTATCGAAGATGTCGTCATCAACTACTTATATGTGTGTTATTCTGGAACTTATATATATATATCATATATCATCATCTGAGGCATTGCTACAATTTCTTCCGCACAATCGCATAAGCCCAAAATTTCTTCCACTTAAATTTTTTGTGCCTTTTTCGTTTCTCCTTTATCTTTAGTTTTGTTAATGTTTTTGTTAACTTTCGTTATAAAAGCTATAAATTTGTTGGTTTAACAATATCCTTGTTTAAAATTTCCACAAAAAAAAGAGTTCAAGCAATTAAACTTAGGAAATTAATCAAAAAAATATTCAAATGTAAAATCGCGAAATTTTCAACAACGCATATTGCCAATAGCAGGCGTATTTTGTTATAAAAATTAAATTTGTTAATAATTTAGGTTTGTTAAAATGGTTAGTTTTCATTTTCAAATGATTTGTGCTATTATTTTTTCCGTTTTAATTTGTTAACCTCTTCGCTGAAACATTTAATTTGCGTTAAAATTTATTTACAATATTTTTTCCAGTTTAGTTTTTCTTTAAAATATTTCATTTGTGTCAAAATTTTAAATTGGTAAGTTTTTAATTTTAATATTTGGTTTATTTATTACAAAATCATTGGTTCTTATTAGTTATAATTTTTATATTTATTTTTTATTTGTATTTTTGTACTTCTCTCCGGAACGATTATATATTTTTTATTTTATATATATATTTATTTGTATTAAAAGTTTATTGTGGATTCGTCTGCATTTCAGTTTTTGTAATTTTTGTTTCTTTGTTTTTTTTTTTGTCTTTATATTTTTTTACAAAAATAATTAAGATTATAATTCATGTACTTCATTTTTATTTATTACCAAACGTTTTTTCTCAACTTATCGGATTTTTTTCAATATTTCATTTTTATAAATTTACTTCTATTTGTGTTGAAAAGATGATTGGCATCCCGTTAATTATTTTTGAATTAAAAACAAAATTATTCAAAGTAATTTTGGCATTTTATTTGATTTTTATAATTTATAATATTTTATTTTATATTAAATTTATTTATTTATTTTATTTCATTTGTAATTCCATGATTTATCATTATGCGATTAAACTTATTTGTTTCATATGTTTTTATTTATTTTAATCTTGGTTTAAGTATCAGTTAAGATCAACGTCCAAAGAAATAAATTGGTAAGTTTATTTTCATTTTGTTTTCTGCGTTCAGTTAAGTTTACTTTTTTAATATCATTTTTTGAACCATTTATTTTAATAAACATTTTGATTGCTCAATTTTTGTATACATTTATTTAAGTTCCGCATGTTTCTCGTATTTAACTTATTATTTATTTATATATTTTTTAATTTTATCAAAGTCAATTTTTTTTTACTTTTTATGTTAATGTTTTTATTGTTTTTGCATTTATATCTGTTTTAATTTGTATATTCAATTTATTCAGTTTTTGTATTGTTTTGTATGATTTATTTTGTTTGTATTTTTATTTCATATTTATTTTTTGATAATGTGATTTATTTTAATTTATTTCATTATTTTTTTTTATTATTGGTTTTTTCTTCATTGATTTCTATATTTCTTTAATTCGAAATTCTTAAAAAAAAAAAACATTTTACTGTGTTATAATTTTGTAACTTTTTTTTTTTTAATTTTATTTAAAAATGCATTATCAGTTTTTACTTTCTTCATTTTGTTAATTATGTTACAATTTTAGGCTTTATTTAAATAATTATATTTTATTTATTTTCGTTTCAATTTTGATTTCAATATTTCGTTCAGTTCAAAATATAAATTTAAATAATAGGCTAAACTGAATTTCGTCTTTTTACTTAAATGGGCTTCTATTAAAAGTATTTCATAAGCTTTGTGTGCCTAACGCCGACAACAAACAATAATACAAATGTATACAAAGCATAGATATATATAACCTAATAAACTGTACTCTCAATTTTACTGCAACTACTGTCTTTTATTCCAAAAGCCAAGATTGGTTATTGAGAATCTTTTGAATTGTTTTATTGAGCAAAGTGGAAGCCGTTAAAGGATTGCGCATAAATAGGTATACAAATATTTATCATTTTTCTTAGGAATTACACATAAATATAAGAAATTAAGTTAAGCCACGCCTACAAGGCGGCTGCTGCGGCTGCTCCGTTGCAGGCATTATCACTGCATTGCCTTCGTCTTATCCTGGCCATCGATGTCCTGGGACTCGTTTGGCTTGGCCGCCGTTTGGGCCGCAGCTGCTGGCATGCTGGCGCTACCATTACCACCATCACCACCATTACCATTTGAGTTAGCCGCATCGCTGGAGCTCTGTGGAACGGCATTGCTGTCCCGATCGAATAGATAACTGCCGCCTAGAGGGCGTGGTCGTCCACCATAGGAAGAGCTACAAGGGGCGACAAGAGAGCAAGCCTATCTTAATGATTTACACAATTCTCCAACACAAAGTGTGCTAATGGCTACAAGCAAACTCCCAGAGTGGGTGGACTTGATAAACCTGGGTTTGGCTGATGTGGTTTGCATGGGTGCAGCACCCACTGCAACTTACCTCTGTGCATCTCGCTCTCTGTCCCGACCACCCCCGCCGCCACTACCCCCGCCATTTGCACTAGAGCTGCCACCGCCACCGCCACCGCCAGCAGCAGACGCAGAACCGCTTCCATTACTGGAGCCACCACCACTACTACCTCGTGAGCTTTGCTTATCCTGGTCGCCCAGATACGTCCAGCTGCCCTGGCCATTGGGCTTGGCCATGTCGCCCATGACGCTTGTGTGGCCGCCACGATAGCCATCGCTGCCGATGGCCGAGGAGGAGACCTTGGTGCCACCGCGACTGTCATAGGGACAATTGCTGATCATATGGCCGCAGGGGGAGGCGGGGGTGCGATCGCGATCGTGGAACGGTTGCGCATTCGAGCGACGATCATCGTCATCGCCGGCAAAATAATAGCCACGGCCCGAATTATCGAAGCCCGACTGACCTCTGGGTGCGTGGGTGCAATTTAAGTGGTTGCAAGGATAGAACAGGACAGCACAGGACAGGTTGTGGGTGGTTGTTGGTGGGAGAAGTTGAGTGCATTAAATATCCGAGTACAAATTGAAGCGTAGAGTATCCAGAGTTCGTATGTTGTTGTTGTTGTGGTGTTTTGTGTTATTAGTAAACATTGTTGTTGTTGTTGTTGTAGTTGTTGTAGTTGTTGTTGTTGTTGTGTTGTATGTAAAGAGTAAGAGAGTGTTAGCATTGACAACAGTTGAACAAATAAACACACACAGAAACGAAACATATTTTTACAATAGTAATACAAATATAGAAGCAGGATAGCGATACCTGTAGGTCTCATCCCATGGACGATAATTGCGATAATCATACCTTGAATAGTAGCGGTCATACGGATCGTATTTGTCATACCCTGACCTCGAACGATCGCTATAACGATCGCCGTAACGATCACCGCCGTAGCGATCACTGTAACGATCTGAAAGCATAAAGTTTTTAATTATTTCGAATTAAGATTCAACAGTAAACAGTTTTCTTTGAAACCACATATTTAAAAAAAATAAAATAAAATAAAATAATTAAGTAATCAAAATTTAAATTAAAAGAAAACAATTTTTTTTATATATTTGTCAACACTACAAGCCTTCAGCAATGAGACGAATATAAATTAACTTTCATCATTTCTTTTTTCATTATTGCTTTTAATATGATCGAGCTGATCTGATATGATCGGCAGACGAATATGGCTATGTCGAATCGATTAGTATTGTTAATCTTTATGGTTTCGGCGACTCGATTAATATTGCTAATCTTTATGTTTTCGCAGACGTCTCCTCATATATGTGTTGCAAATTAAAATACCCCTTAATATGGTCATAATAAATATCTCCAGGAAGCAAATTAAAACTAACGCTATTTACTAAGTTCTGACTCACCCCGTGAACTGTCACCGTAGCGATCACCGGAGTAACGATCCCTGCTGTCGTAGCCCGAGTAGCCCGAGTAACCCGAGTAGCTCGAATAACCAGGGCTGCGATCGTAGCTGCTGGAGCCGCGTCTATAGTAATCATCGTAGCCGCGTCCCTCGTACCGATCATAGGTGCGAGGCTTGTAGCGATCATCGCGACTGTAGGATCTGTCATAGTCACGATCCCGACCGCGATCATCGTAGCGATCATAGGAGTAGTACCACGAGCTGCGCGGCTCCTCGCTGCCCCGGCTCGAGTAGCCACCGTATCGATCGCTGCCGCTGCTGCCATAATACCGATCCTCGTAGCAGCGGACGCAGCGCGACTGACGACTCTTGCCATTGCCGCGCAGCACGGAGTCGAGGACACCAGCTGGCGCCTGCTTATCACTGGCAGTGGGCGTGGCTGAGCGTGGCTCTGGTGCTCTCAGAGCCGCCTGGACGCAGCAGACAACGGCCAGGCAGAGTAGCTGCAAAGAGTTGAGAGTTAAAAGTTGAGAGAGTTGCGTGATCATTAGCTTATGGTTTATGGATAGATTTCACAGTCCAGCGATCAAGTGGGCCAAAGCCCTCACACCCACACACACACAGACAGAGAGAGATATACACACAAAGTCTCAGATAACCGCGGCACGTACAGCCTCCAATCATAATTGACGAAAGTACTGCTCGAAATACAAAGCCATGTGTAGAAACCATCAGCGTCATTATCGTCATTAAAAATGGACACTCGACGTCAGCGAGCGTGAAATATGATCAATGGACTATGAGTGGTGCTCTGTGTCGATTATGCAATAATAGGGCATAGATTAGGGCGCAAATTGTGGCCAACACCTCAGCCCTTTGCCGCCATGCAAACAACAACAATGAAAATACTGACAGATATAAAATGTACATATGTAAATCATAATCAAAAAAAATAATTAAAACTAAGCCTCATATTCAGATATGCATAAAATAGCATTGACATCATTTTGCTTTCATTCATGGCTCAAAATCATAAAGTACGCTACGCGGGGTGGCTCACAAAATAACCACAAACTCATATGTATAGTAGTGTGTACCTGCCTGCCCCATCGGCTTGCCCCTCTTCTCCATCACATAGAGTTGATCATGATATATGCTGGCGAGCTGGTCCGCTACGCTTTGTTAGCCAAGCATCAGGAACAATTTCCGCTTGGGGTTGGCTATAGCCAAAATAAAGCCACCGACTGGCCAATCTACGGATCTCGAGTTCGTGACTTGTCACTGAGTGTGTGCACACTTTATTAGAACAATTAAATTTTTACCATATAAGCGCTTTATTTTTTTTTTTCTTTTATAGTATATCACATAGCTGTCGGTCAACGGTCGTTGCCATCATTAATTTGGAGACTGATTTATGCATAATTTGCCATTTACATAATATTCCGAATTTTCCAAAATTATTACATCATATAGCGACAGTTATGCAATCGTATGTGAGATCAGAAAAGGGGTAGGTCAGTATTCTTTTTAATATTATATAATTTGTTCTATCGTTGTACACATAAATCAATGTCTCCTCTAATTCAATAGTAAGTTTATATTCCTATAAAGATGTAGTAGAAAATCTTAAAAGTCTCGGGAGAATGGGTAGATCAGTTTTATGGTATATACTATCTAATTTGCTCTATGGCTATAAAAATAATGCAATTTCTACCTTATTAAAAAAAATCGGACAGTTTTTTAAGAGCATATGCACTCAACATGTACCTAGTAGAAAATCGTGGAATACTGTTGTCTAGTTCTAGCTAGTTATAGCTAGTTTTAGCTTCTATACCGATAAACTTTTAAGACGTTTTCTAAAATTCTTCAGCCAAATAATACAGGCAAAAATAAAATAATCTAATCATAATATGTATTGAATAAAATTAATAAGAAAAAATCTAGCTTGAACATTTTCTTTAAATTGTTTAAATAATTTTGACTAATATATATTTTGTTTTTAAAAATATTAAAACGTTTTCAACTGGAATTTATTATAACTACTTAACACTTCGATCTATTTAGTTTTATTTCAAAATGTTTCAATTATATTAATTAAACATATATTAAAATAACTTTTTAACTAGAATTTATATACTTCTCAAATATTGGCACACTATGCTATATACAATTTCAATCTATATTCTGTTTGTTTTATTTAAAAATTCTTTAACATTTAGTAAGAAAAATTTACGTTTTAATCATTTAAATAAATTGAAAACAAAACTAGAAGATGTCTTTGATTATTAATTATTGGTTTGAGTACTATTAAAATCATAAACAAACTGAATATTTTCTAAGCAATAAAAAATAATATGTTAATAATTAAAAGATCATAATTATTGGGTTCTAAAAGCTCATATTTTAAATCCATGTTACCTTCTCAATTTTCCATTTATATTCTATTTGTGTTATTTCAAAATAAATGAATATAAAAAATAGCTAACATTCAATTTTAATAATTTATATATTTATATAAAAAATACACTTTCTCACTAAACTCTGACAGAATAATTTGGAAATAATAAGAAGACTCCATTTATTTTAGGCTATAAAGCAAAAATATTTGGAAAATCACAAATCATTAAATAAAAATAATATAGTATGGAAACAATATATTATCAGGTTGAAAAAGTCGATTAGTGCCTTCAAAACTTTAAACAATATAACTATGTTTTTACCATGATTAATATCAACTCTTTATGTTTTTATCATGAACATTATGTAAGTGCCGAAAATCCAAAGTAGATTTTTTAAATGTGAGTTTTGGTTTTTTAATAAGTTTAAATTTGGTTTTTACATTGCAATATTCTTTCGTGCGAATAATCAACTATTTTTTAAAACTCACCAATTGCAACACGTGCATTGTTTATAGTTCTTTTTTTTTATTTCAATTCACTAAAACACTTGCACAAATACTTCCAGGCACGTCGAGTGCCCTTCTTGGAATCTTCGCAACTAGTATTTGGCGCTGGGTGCACAAATCCTTGGCGCGCTTTTCAATCGTTGAAATATTTGGTCGACGAGTCGCTGGCAACAGAATTGAAATCACGAATGTGCTGCTCAGGCCAGTGGCACGGGTATTTATTTGAAATAGCTGCCAAAAGTCGCTGGAGCGCGTTTCGCTAGAACCGATTCGGAGACCGACGAGACTCACAGAGAAACGCACTGAAGCGCGATGTGGAGTTTTGCAGAGCTCCCCCAGAGCAGGGGGGGTTGGCTGGAGGCACACTGCTCTATGTGGATCTGGGCTTTGGTATTCGTCGCTGAGGTGTTGGCATTTGGTTGGGGCATCGTTTTGTCACTTCACCTGCAACACCTTCGGTGTTTTCTGGCCAAACCCCGTTTGAATCTGAAGCGGTTTTCGTGGTTTTCACGGTCAGTTTGTCATTCGTAGAATGTGTGTCTGGCGGGAGGATGTGTGTCTGTTCTGTTGTATTGGGGGGCGCAACCTGTCATTATTTGTTCTCAGACATTTGGGTCTAATTAATGCATCTTCTCGCATTGCGTAATACTTGGGTGTATTCCTGTCGACAACTGTGACTCACAGCAAACTGGATGAATCTTGGATTAAAGGCGTGAAATTAGCATGGCTAATTGCGACAAACATGTTCATTTTTTCGGCTCTTACATAATCCACGACCGTGACCATGAAAAGGGTTTAGCTCTACTTAAAAAGACGCCAAATGGAACCACTTAATGCACACAGTAAGAAGGACACTGTTGCATTCCCTTTAATTTTAATAAGTAATATACTAGATGGATTCAGACAAAAAATTGAATTTTAAATAATACTTGATTTGGGGCAAGCGAAAAATTATAAATAAATTATATATGTATATATAAATTATAAAATGTGGTCACCAAACAATAAAAAAAATTATAATAAGCAAAAATGTTTATGCAGCTTTTAATTACTTTTGAAATTTAAATTCAAGATTCACGATAAAAGTAGAGGGAGAAAATAAATGATTTATTAATTATACATAAGAATAAATTTAAAATAAAAATATCATAAATACTCAAATATTTCTTGAGCTAATAAAAAGCTCAAAGAATCGAAATAGTTAAGTTAAGAGCATGAGGTAATTGTTATACTGTTGAGTAAAAATATCATATAAACTTTACGCTAGAGTGAAAAAAGACCGAATTGCTCCTGCTGCTGCTGATTTTGTTGTATTTTAACTTTTTTGTTGTTGTTTTTAGCGCCGTCATCTTGTTCGTCTGCATGCGCAGTGAACCCCAAATGGAGGTCGTTGGCATTCACAACTTAACTATAGATGGTGGTCCAACTTTATACATATGTATTTACCATTCACAACGGCGACAAGTTTAATTAAACCACTTAATTTTGTTTATCTAATGCGAGCAGACGCAATTTTATATAGTGTTCTGTATGATACAATATATGCTAAATATGTTTACATTGTGGGTTTCGTTAAGGTATATGTTGTTTTGGTTTTGAAGATTGCATCTAGTTTGCTTCATGGAAGAACAATTTGTCATACGATTATTACGAGCACAAGTACGAGAGTAGTTAGAGTTATAGTTAAGTATCTAGGCAGCAAAAACGGAAATAGTTTTAAACAATTATGCTAGTTCAACAATTGGCTACAAAATACAATTTTATTGTCACATTGTGGTTGAGTATCGAAAGCCGAGGCCAATAATGCCAATAAGATATCACGAGGGTGCCACCGATGCCGCGGACATGGCGCCCGCAGCGGCGATCTCGTCCTGGAACGCCAGAAACCCAAGCTGGGCATGCGATGCCTCGTTCAGAGCTCGCGATCGTATACAGGCACGATACTGATCCGCACTCAACGATCCCGTGCAGATCTGTGAAACACCGAATACAATTGATAAGTTAAAGCTTCAAATAGTCTGCTCTTTGTAGTTGACTTACTTTTGGATGCCAGCGATGAAAGATGCCCGGATCTGTGGCACGTATGATTTTGATTTTAGATCTGACGTACTTGCGATAGAGCATCACATCCTCGCCGCCCCAGCCAATGATCTCCTCATCGAAGCCGCGTACTTGCAGAAAATCCGATCGATACTGACACGTCATGCCGTAGCCAAAATCGCGCCAGAAACCCGTGTCCCTCGAGATAACCAGCTGCTCCTCCTCGCTGGGCAGCGCCTTTCCCTGCAGCGTGTACACCACGTGCGGATTGTAAAGGCTGAACACAACCGGATAATAAACCTAAGATCCAGCATTGTTAGTAGCGATTTTATCTTTTGTTCCAGGCACCTACCTTCTTGCCGGGCGAGGTATTCCAGCGACAGCGCTCCAGAAATTTGGCTGTAAACACAATATCCACGTCGCACATGAAGAGCAGCGCATCCTGCGTCACTTTTGCTGCCTGCGGCTGGACATGCTCAGCACCCAAGCGCAGAGCCTTCGCTGCAAGTAGTAGTTTTAACGATTAAGATAAGAACTAGATAAGCTACATCTGAAGATATTTCAGTCTCATATCTAACTGGCAATAAATTCATGTACAATAAAATATCATATCGGCTGCGAAAAAACCCGAATTTAAATGATTAAAATCTTCCTAAAAGAAAGTCAACCTGAACACTCAAAAGTTTTCCTAATAATTACTAAATCTACAAAAAAAAATCTGAAATTTAGAAAGAAATAGTTTATATTTATAAATGATATATTTCCAACAAAAACGTCAACCTGAACACTAAAAAGTTGTCCTAATAATTACTAAGAATTTTTAAATTTAGAAAGGTTTTTTTTCAGAAATATTTTGTATTTTTAAGAGATAAATTTCCTACAAAAAAATTAGAAAATTAGTAAAATACTTATAAAAGTCGGAAACAGTTAGCGATTATTGATTGATTGATTCGCGACTTTAAGAATTCTGTTTACACAAATTAAAAACCTTCTGCAATTTTGAAATCGTTCTAAATTTTGGAAAAACAAGCCCTGACTTTGGAAAACACCTGAATTTAAGAAATATAGTTTTAGAATACGGCGAGATTTTTAAGTATTTAATTGATTGCTTTTGCAGGCGTTGGTAATATTGATTCATGCAAAACATTCTTATAAAATTAGAAATAGAATCGCTAAGCAGAATTTTATACATGAATACTCTGTAACTATTATATTTTAGAAAATAATTGAACTCTTCACCCACCTCTGCTAAATGTCTCATTTAGAGCTATGAGCTGAACACGTTCCAGATCCGCTGCAATCTCTCGCGCCTGCTTCAGTCCCGGCTCGCCAAAGTAGACGACGATCAGCTGGAGGCGACGATCGGCCAGTTGCTTGAACAACTGGATGAAGCTGCGAAAGCTGCGCAGGCGACCAGCAAGGGGCAGGATGACATGAACAATGGGACTGGCAGCCAGCTCGGACAATTGGACTGTTTGGAGGGGGGCAAAGGGTCGCATGATTAGCGCTTTGCGCACCACATGTGTCTGGTGCTTGATGCTCTGGAAGTAGAGCTCATACTGGCTGCCAGTCGTCGGTTCTGTGCGATGAATACCCTCGACAAAGTCATCCAGGGTGTATTTGCTCGGCTCGACCGACGTCACTCCCTTGGCCCGAGCACGAGCGGTCTGATTGCGATTAAGGCTCTCCAGCGCCTTGTTGACTGCCTCGAGGAGATCTCGCCGCCTGTATCCGATGGGCTTCTCCACCACCCGCTTGCCGAGGCCCAGATCGATGGGATAGACACGCGTGAAGGTGAAATGATTGAAGGGTATCATCTCGTACTCATTATTCAGTGGCAAGCCGTGCAGAATCTCTGCGGCGCCCACCTGCTTACGTATATAACTGCTGCAGTCATAGTGATGCGTTAGCGAGGGAATTGTGCTGTCCACCTGATGATGCAGCTGTGTGCTGTTGTTGCTGCTTGAGAAGGCAGGCAAGGCCAAGGAGGAGGAGGCGGAAGCGGAGGCGGACGCGGACGCCGAGGAATATCCAGTTGCCGGCAATTTGCCAGGCAATCCATTGTTATTTCCGCTACGATTACTATGTAAAAGGACAAGCTGGGCTCGCAGTGTGAGCACCTCCTGCTTCAGGCGTTCTATTTGTGCGTCGCGAGCACTCAACGCTGAATTAAACCCATTTGTCTCGCTGGGATTCGCATGCGAATCTTTGTCCGTTTGCGCAGTCAGCTCATCGAAGCCCCATTTCGTTAGAATCGCTATCGAAATTACAGTTACCAGCGCGAACAGCAACAGCAGCCGCACTAGCAACCGAGAGGCCAGCGAATTATGCATTTTCCATGTTCCGTTCGTTAATTATTGCTGCAAAAAAGAAAAACAAACATTTATAATTTCAATTGATATTTGGGCGGCAAATACAGAAGAGAGCGTTGCCAGATGGTCGTCGAAACATTAGGTGGCAGCGCGACGCATTTGTGCGTTCACAGAATGACGCAATGTTATAAGCATGTTATGCGACAGCAATCACCATTTTTTTTTTTTTTCGTTAACAGCCTGTAAAATTTGTCAAGCAAAACACAACGTTGGCTTGCTGATATTTTTGTAATCAAAAATCAAAAGAAAAATTTAAAAGCATCGGAAAACCCGGCAATCGGCACAAAAACAGCACAACAGTCGCACAATAAACATTTCCCAGGTGAGTGTGTGTTTTGGCTAAATAGGGCGAGGCCAGCAGCGCAATGTAAATATTGTGCGTTGGCAGGCGGCTGCAAAGTTCGACGAGCAACAAGTTTTATTTTTTGGTGCTGCCAGTGCTGTCACTTCTGAATCACACTTTCGGCAGGCAGTCACGGTTTAAGTCGTCGCTTGGTTCAGTGTATCTATGTGTTAATTACACTGGCAAAATGGGCATCTGATGACAGCGCGCTGTTTAGTTTGCATCACTGCTTCTATAATTCAACGCTTATTGGGTGAGCAGTGTGGCCAATCACTGTTTGGCCGCTCATCTCTATTTTTGTGCTGTTAGGCCAAGTTCGGGAATCGTATGATTCATTACGAACTGGGCAATATTGCATAGATAAGAAGTGCTTCAACTTGTCATTCTGCTATTTTTCTCTATTTCTTTTTGGCTTTGTGCTCTCTGTGTTGTATTTAACGTAATTAATCGCAGCTTTTGATTGTGTGCACCTCTTTCTCTCACCATATGTGTGTATGTATGTGCGTGTGTGTTTGTGTGCGTGTGTTTGCACTCGCCACAATTAAAATTTGCTTTGTATCTTGAGAAATTTGAAATGAATAGGGGATTTTATTGGTATACCCTGTAACCTTTGAAAGTGGAAAGTGTGGCATACTCAGAAAACATTTCCGGCTCTGTAATTATTGTTGTATTAAACTGACTTGACTTTCCCTCACTCACTTGCCTCATTCTATCTTTCACGCGCAACAGCTTTTTACCTTGATCCCCAACTCTCTTTTTAACGATTGCTTTCTGTTTGTTTTCTCACTCTTTCTCAGTCTCTCATTCTTGCTTATATCAACTAACAATCTCTCAATATCGCCAAAGGCCAACATCTGTGCGATTCTCTGACTAATTCAAACAATAATACAGCTAATTGGCTTGGGATTAAATGGGTTTCAGCTGGGTGTCTGCTAGTCGATCCCTAGATGTATTCCATTGAACAAAGAACATTCTCTATTTGAATTCATATTTGACTTCTCTCTTTCTGCAGCCAGTATTCATTTAAGCGAAATATCGACGCACAGAGAAGATGGAGAACAACGAGGCACCAGCACCTTCCGGTTCAAACAATGAGTAAGTGCGGCTCGCAACACTCGCAGTTGGAGCTTGATTAGAATCAACACTGCGAGGCACAATTGCAGGCCCCAAAGTTTGTCAGCAGAATAAATTGAATTCAGTACGCTTTTGGGGCTTGGAATTTCGTGCGTGGCGCTTGTGTGTCGAGCTTTGCTTTCTTGTCCGCCACATGTATAATATTCTACAGCTTTCCCATACTTCCACCACCGCCAAATGCGTCAAACATTGCCAACGACAATAGCAACAACAATGCCGCCCAGAAGCGTCTGCAGCAGACACAGGCCAAAGTGGACGAGGTTGTCGGCATAATGCGCGTCAATGTCGAGAAGGTGCTCGAACGTGATCAGAAACTATCGGAGCTGGGCGAGCGCGCCGATCAACTGGAACAGGGCGCCTCACAGTTCGAGCAGCAGGCCGGCAAGCTGAAGCGCAAGCAGTGGTGGGCCAACATGAAAATGATGATCATACTGGGCGTCATAGCTGTCGTCTTGCTCATCATTATAATCGGTAAGCATTCTATGTATGCTTAATATCCTCGTTTTTTTAATGCTTTTCGGCTAATGCTTTTTATCTGAGCTACTCTTGCCTAATCTCAATTACATTACAAATTACTATTTAAGTAATTTGGTAATTCCTTTTCTATTTCTAATTCTACCAGAATAAAATTTAGAGCACCATTCTTTCCTAAACTTAATTACATTTCAAATTAATAATTAAGTAACTTGGTAATTCTTTTTTTACTTTAACTAATTCTTCCAAAAAAATAAGACCATACTCAAATAATATTATATAAGTTACTAAATTTTATACGAACCTTATAAGCAATTTTAGGTGGTGCTTAGCATTAATTTTAACTTAGTCTTAAGACACACACATATCGTATATCAAATCTTATCATTTCATTTTTGTCAAGGTGTACACATTTGTGCCCATACTCGTGATAATCATCAGTCCAGTTAACATATCTAAATTCGTCTGATTCTATGTTTATTTCTATGATATTTATTCTTTAAATCCAATTCAAGTTGTTAAAATATTTTTCATAACTTACCCTCTAGAACTGCCATAGGAATAATTGATTCATATTTCAAGGGTAGCCGGATTATATTTTAATTGTTAATATTTTTGTTTTTTTGTCTTGCGGTTTTGGGTTGCAATTTGTGGTTTTGGGTAACACCTGTTCCAAAAAGCGTTACAAAACTAATTATATTCGAATGTGCCACTTTTCAACGATGATAAATTTTTATTTTTCTTACAGTGTCGCTATACAATTGATACACAGACACAAATTACCACAACAAAAACAAAATGCAGCAAGGCAACTTGTTGAACTTTAAATTACGCATATCTCTAAGACAACCGATACAACTACATGCAACATAAGTGCACGTATCCAAACTTATACACATACGTATAAATATATAAATATGCAAAATGTGCTGAGCAGATTTAGTTTAAGAAAAGGTAATCTATTGCTGCGTGCTCCATATGCTAATTAGATGTTTATTACCCATAATTATTAGCTTAGATACAAATCGTGTTCAGTTCATTTTAAGAATCTACTTTATAGCCCAACTGTAAATACTGATGTCAGAACTGTAGTTGCAAGTAGAGCTAGCTAGTCTTATTTGCCTAGGATCCATTTTGGAGCCTTTGAATTATTAAAGCTAATCACATTTCTTTTCCCCTGACAATTTGCAGTGTGCGCTTTACCTTCAAGCAGCAACAGCAGCAGCACTGACCACGCCACCCAAGCCGTTACGCAGGTGCCCCACTAAAACCGTCAATGAAAAGGAAGCCCAAAAAAAAAAAGAAAAGAAAATAAAATTAATGAACAGTCCCCGAATGGGCACTGGTCTGTGGAGGGTCTGCTGCCTTTGTATTGGCCTTATGTGCAACAACAACAACAACGACAACATTTACAACAACAAAACATATTAATAATTATAATACACAACACTTGAAGCTGTGTCTAAAACTTTATACATAAACTTTAAACAGATTGTTATTTATATTAATCCTAAATGTTAATACAAACATCATTTTTCACATACAAATGTATTGTAAACAAATATTCAAAACAACGCACATGTCCGCTATGTAAGTGTGTGTGTTTGTGTGAGTGTGCATGTTGTCAGTCACTGACACGGCACAAATTGAAATTGAAGTGTATTCGTTTTAGGCCAGCTAAGATTAAAAGCCACTTGACACATGTATCAAACTATAGCCAACAAGCGCACTCACACATCCAATCAGCACTGGCACTGGCACAGGCACATTTTTTGATGTATACATTTTTGTATTTACACTTATATGAAATGGTATGTAATTGATATGAATTCGTTATTATTGTACTCGTAATACAACGTACGTTTGCCAAAAAGAAACGCGAACATTTTGTAGAAAACTTTACGTCATATATTATTTACACATCTTTTTTGTAGTTAGGCTTGTTTTTTTCTCCTTCTTTTTGGTTGCGTTGTATAGAAAAACTTTTATCGATTTTCAAGCGACGAAAACTGAAACGACTAAGACGAGCCTAACTTGGCCAACTGAGAACCCGATGTGCGTTGCCATCGAAAGCGGAACACAAATCAACTGTTTGCCGAGCACTGCGACGATGCTGACGTAACTCCAGGCAGCAAAACGTTCCTGATTTGCATTTGCAACTGCGAATCGTAAACATTGTGTGATTGTAAGTGCGTGTGTGTGTGTGTGGGTGTGTGTATGAAACAGCTGTTGGGACTTTTGCAGCGCAGGCGCCTAGACGCTAACCGGATTTGGGTGGCAACTCTGTAAGGGCCGGTCTACGACCCTTATGTAAGGCTTGCCAACGTTGTATTCCAATCGGCCAGTTGAATAGTGGCTGCAGCCAGCCACACATATCCCATGTAGAGTGCATAGAAGCTCAGATAGTACAGCTGGCCAATGAGTATGTGATCGCCGATTCTTTCCAATTGGTAAAAGTTCGGTTTCCGCATCGAGGCTGCAAACATTACCACAAACTGCAGCAGCAAATTTAAACAATTTAATCAATGCTTGTTTGGCCCTATAAAACTAATTGAATGTGGCACAATAGTCGAAGTTGGACAAAATAAACATTTTGAAAAAAAATAAAAATATTTAAATTGGTTGCAGTTGGTAAAAAAATGTTGAAAGTAAAATAAAAATGCTGCATGCAAAAAGAGTTTTTGTGGCTTTTTTTTGGGCATTAAAAGGTAAGCTAGTCTAAAGGCGGTCTTAGGCAACAGAGGGTTAAGTTATTACTGCTCCCGATTATAAGTTGATTTCAAGTACGAACTTTCACAGGCTACTCTGCCAATGGCAATTGGAAACTTTTCACACACTCGCAATAGTCATCGATGTGTGGTTTTCTTGTTTTTCTCCATAGGAAATTTCGATGATTTGTGCCAGGACTTAATAATCGGTACGCTTGCGCTAAAGCTTCTACGATGTTTTACACATATGGAAGAGATTTCAATTCTAAAAGCTTCCTTTGCGCTTAGAAGCATGCAAAGTAAGACATAATATTTCCATTCACTATGAGAAGCTGTACAAATAAAATGTTGGTGCTCAGAAATTGACCTATTGAAAAATGATCCCTAATCTTAATTATTGAAATTTTGCGAAATCCCACTAAAAATTCTATTTTTGCCTATACTTTTGTCGAGCCCTGTTTTCATCGGATCGATTTGTCAACGTTTTCGTGTGCCATATTCAGCTAGTATTATTTTGGGTCTCAATGCCTTGCCTTACAATGTTGCCCATCGAGGTGTAGATTAAGAGGCTGGGGATCTCGATGCTGAACCGCTTCATTTCGGAGCACAGAATGATGCCAAAGCAGGTTAACACAAATACTCGCTCGCTCCAACGAATGATGTTGCGTCGACTCATCTGCAAAAGGGGTGAAACAACAATTAACACCAATCTCGGAAGCGACACCAGATATTGACAGAGGTTGCACTAACAAAGAGTCCACGACGATGGCTAGTTGCCATGTTGCCGTACATCACACTGATGCCCATGACCATGAAGGTGAGCACCGAGGATACTATGAGGCAAATGTAGGGCGCTCTTTTCACGGGCTTCATGATCGAAAGGGTGTTCACCTCGTACTGAGAAGGAATTGAGGAGTGCATTTGTTATTCATCACATATAAGAAGAGGCTCACCGTCCAAATGTCGGCTAAGGTGCGTTTCCACTTTGACTTTTGCTCGAGGATGCGATAAAAGAACACGTACAACTGTATCGATATGAAACTTACAAAAAAATGCAGCAAACTAATATGGTAATTAAACGCCAGAAACTCCTTAATAGATGCGCTGCAGTCGCACAATAATCAAATAATATATATATATATATATATACACATATGTCAAAAGATTCGCCTTACATACATTTCCATTACGACAAAGACCTGAAGTTGGCCAATAATTAGCATCAATATCGTCACTTTATAGGTCTTCCTCACTAGAATTTTAGTAGCCCGGTCCTTTTCGTGCCCATCCAGATCCATTGCTAAATCCTGTTTAATTTCAATGACAAGTTTGACGCAACTTTAATACAAAATAGGGTATTAAAAAAATTATTTTTTAACACATGAATAAAAGCCACCTTTGTCAGGACCCAAATTAAAAGTTCATTAACAAATGAGAATAGAATAAAACTAAAATAATAATATTTAATACAAATAATAAAACTAAAATAATAATATTTAAAACAAATAATAAAACTAAAATAATAATATTTAATACAAATAATAAAACTAAAATAATAATATTTAATACGAATAATAAAAGCATGAGGCGAGTGGTGAATTTAAACTGGCATTTTACAGCCAACTTTTGAATAAAATTTAATGTTTTATCATTTCCGTTAAATTAAATTAAAGCGCCGTAAAATATGCAATACTAAGCTCAAATATTGGCGAATATTCGACAATTGTGCTGCCAGACAGCGAACATATATGGCAACTTTGCGGCGTATAAATTTGAATAGCAAGCTGACAGTAATTCTCCCGCTAGAAACGGCTGTGTGTATGAAAGGGAAAATACAGATTTTATAAAATTTGTAATTTAAAACAATATTTATTGGGGAGGGGATTGGGGGATTGTACCGCGACCTACTCGATCTATTGTGCCCCTCTTCTGAGCGCATAGCTCTTCCATCAACCCCAGCTCTTGCACGAATGCCAGAGTCTTTGTTGGGTTGAGGGCTTCTATGTCTCTGAAATTCATAACATGCATCCCTAGGATGCTGCATCTTCTTCTACTCAGGCTACACACTCTGCTTGGATGTGCATCTAGAATTCCTCCTCGCTTTTACAAAACCTGCACAGTTCGCTGCTATAGATACCTAGTTTAGTTAAAAACTATAGCTAAATATGAGCTGTATTAAATGTATTTACATTTATATATATATATCTCAATTATATTTTATTATTTTGAATTTGTACGTTTATATATTTTTGTATTATCTCACTAAACAATACAAATGCATTTCTAATTATTGACTAATTATATTTTATAAAAAACCTTCGTACTCAGAATAGAGTCTCCTCAGCTGAATCCATTACCGCTTTTTCCTTTACCTTAGCTTTATCCTGGCTTTCACATGCATTAAAATTACAGCAACATTATTATTATTATTATTATTTTTATTATTTTATTATTATTATTATTATTTTTATTATTTTATTATTATTATTAAATTAAATAAATATGTCAAATATATGGCAGCATTGCCATCGTGTGTAAGCAGGCCTTTAAGCTGGACGGATATCTCAAATATGCTTTGAATGACAGAGGTTTTTACATTTGTAGTTTGTTATTAAAAAATAAATTTACCTCTTTAGGTATTGACACTTAAATTATTTGTATACACATGTACACAGAGAGCCGTTAGTTGTTTTTTTTGTTTTTTTTCTTTGGGAAAATGGATGATCGCGTTGGTTCCTATCAGCGAGCCCGTCGCAAATTTTCCTCAATTGTCTATGGAGTAACGCTTATTTGGCTGCTCCTGGCGCTGATTCAGTGGCTCGTCATCAACTTAATGTAAGTTTGAGTAACTGAAAGTGGCATCTATCTATTACTAGCCATGTGTCGTCTTAACTGCAGGCAGAATGACGTTGAAACATATTTGAAATATGAATGGATTAGTCTAATATTCTTTTTTCTATCGATAATTCTGGTCTTTGTCTTCATATTCGTTGAGAAATCGCGCTTCATCACGGGCTTAAGTTGGATAATAACAATATTAAGTGTAAGTTGTGCAAAATCTCGCTATTTTCACAAATGCTTTCTAAGTGCAATTTGTAGGTGGAATTTGCTATCATTGGCCTGTTTGCCCTGGTGGTTAAACCTATGTGGCCAGAACTGCTCCTGTGGTTTGCCATCTGTGTGATCCTGCTGTTCATATCCGTTCTGCTGGGCGCCTTTATTCCGGTAAGTCGAACAACCAACTGTGAAAAACTGATTGTTTTGATTGCTCTTCATTAGCATGATCTGACGCTGGATATTGTTGTGTTGTTTGTGGTGTCCTTTGTGTTCCTCATTGCGTCCATCTTTTTGATAATGTTGCACCTGCTCACACAGACACTGTATTCCTATATACTGTTCGAACTGCTCGTAACTTCCATAATTCTGATGGTGAGTATGACTGAGTCTAGTTGGAATTGTGGAGTGGTCAACTGAATCTCAATTCTCCTTCTGCTCTGTAGTTTATCATGTACCATGGCCAAACAATTAACGGGGGCCGCTTTGCAGAGATGCGGATCAATGACTATCTCTTGGGCACCGTCATACTCTTCTACGACTTCATTATCATATTTTTGCTTTCGTTCTATATGCAAACGCACTATCAAATCGTAAAGCATGTTGCTCATCCCGAGGAGCCGTTGAAGATTAATGTCAAACAAAATTAATTACCAGGTATTCATGTTTAGTTTTCGGTCGTTGTAGTTTGTTGTTAGAATGTCGTGACCGTGAGCCATCAAGTTCCACCTGATATAACGCTTGTAACAACTGCGATCGCTTGCAAGGGATAAAACAAGTAGTAAAACAAGTTACTCGCAAATTATTATTCCATGACATGATTATAAAATGCAAATACCTAATTTAGTTGCCCCAAAAATTCACATAACAACTTTGACTCATGTGTCAAGGTAGCAGATATTACCAGATATTGCGAGTATTAACAGAAATAACTTATGATCCGGAATGCTTTTTAAATTAATTACTTCAATGTAAACTAAAGATTTTAAAAAATAAAAATTTATAAACAAAATTAAGGTTACAATTCAAACATATAAGATAAGCATAGCTAAAATTTGCTTGTATGTATTTATTAATACTACGATAAAGAATTTCATCATCTCGAGCTTAACTTTATTTACCGCCAAGCTGCAGTATCAAATTACTAAATATGTCATTGCATACTTCTAGGCTGACCTAGAAAGCAGACAACTAAAATGCGTTGCATACTTTTGGGCTTTCGCAGAAAGAGGGAACAGTTTGCTGGTGATGGCAATATAATTATATTTTATATCTCGAGCACACATCGGAGAGCTTATTTCCATTAATTATAAAATGCTGAAAAAAATACGTTACTGTATATATGTATTTGTAATTCGGAATCCTCGATTCCTTGTCTCGGGAATAACATTTTGGAATTGATTTGTGGTTTTGGCGTCTCAATTCATCCAACTCTTTAAATTTTTAATTGAGTTTTTTATATCCATGCAATAACTGTTGGACCAATTTTAGCAACTAAAGCACACCCAGAAAATTAATATTCATATGCTTTAAAATGATTAAGCAAATAAATAAATATTAATATTAAATTTGGTTCTGAATTAAAAATGCTCAATGATTATTTTTAACTTTAACGCTGAAATTTTATTCACAATAAATAGTAAAATAAGTTAACATCTATGTATATAGGATATGGTAAGAACATAGTAAATAGAGATAGAGCTAAATAGTAATAAACATATTCGTATAGGTAATAGGTTAGTTCGTTTAGTGGTTTCCACCCAATATTTGATTTAAACTGAACGCTTTTAATTGCTTAGTTGGATATAGTATCTTACATTGGATAAGAGTTAGGATGTTTTTAATACACACACATGCATATAAACAGATAGATATATATATATATAGAAGCTTCGAATCGGTACTACGATAGTTAACATTATTGATTGATTGCACAGCAGTGAACTATGGTTTCTCTACACTCTATCAATTATATATATGTATATAGTTTATTATTTATAGGGACTCCAGCGATGAGGCAGCCGAACAGATGGTCGCATCCGAGTCACTGAGTCTCGATGCGCCCAGGGCCGAGTGCAGCGGCTGTGATTGGGATGCGGCAAAGGAGCCGAGCAGCGGGGAGGCCAATTCATTGAGGCTGCTTAGCCTGCTCAGTGTGGGCGTGGCAGCTCTGGCCAGACTAATGCTGCTGCTGTCCGTCGACGAGGAGGAGTTGGCGTAACGCTCCAGCAGCAGCTGGCTTAGGGTCTTCGCTGGCCAGTCGTCGTCCCCGAAGTCACCTGGTGGCGGCTGTGGCTCTGTGGGCGTCGTCATGGGCGTGGGCATACGGCAAATGCTGCTGGTAAAGGAACTGTTCTCGACGAGGCTGCTAACGGGCTCCAAAAATTTCTTGCCATGATAAATGTCCACACTGACATCCACATCCCGACTGTTGTCCGACGGCGATGGCGATGACGATGGCGATGCCGACGTGAGCAATGTAATGGGTCGAAAGTGATTGGCTGGCGTGGAGGCGTTCAGATTGTGATTGTGATTATGATTCTGGATATTCGAGTTGGAGTTTGTGTTGGAGTTGGATTGGGAATGAGAACGGGTATTCGAGTTGAGGTTGGTCAGCTGCAGCAGCTCAGTTTCTGGTTGACGAAAAAAGGCAAATCAATTGTCAAATCGAGAGTGCAACAAGAAAGTTTCTGTGTTTCGATAATTAGCGGAAGCCATTCGAGCATTCGCTGGCAATAGAACTAAACTGGCGACTACGCTACCTGTGCTTCATACCTTCCGCGGCGGACTCCTCGTTGTCCACATCCTCGCTGATGCTCGCCTGAGCGCGAGTTTCCCCCTGTCCGGCAACAGATTCACCCTGGTTGGTGATGTTGCGCACCACAGCCACCACATCAATGTGCGAGTCCAGCGAGAACTGTTTGCCGGACATGAGTATGCCACGCACTCGGCGACGTGTCGACGGCGATTCCTGGTGCTGTTAACCGCTTGTGTTTAGTCAATTACTATTTCTAGTTAGCAGCTGCAGCTGCAGCTCCACTTACCGCTATGCGTATGCCAGCATAGGTCTTGGCCAGAAACTCGTCGGCATCGAAAATGGCCGCAAAGGAGCCATTGACCACCTTCGGCGACGATGGCGAATTCGATAGCAGCAAACTAGAGCCAAAGGCTTCGCTCTTCTCCTTCGTATCTGTGTTGCGTGAGTGCATTTAAACAATGAAAATGTTATCTAATTTAAGAACTGGCTTTAAGTATCAACTAACTACATTTTCAAGTGTCTGTGAAATCAAAATAAACCTTAAATCAAAGGTAAAAAATACGAAACATATTTGTACAAATAATACAGATACATTTGCATCTAGAACGTAGGCAGGAAAGATGCTTTGTGTTTATAAAACAAGTGCTGCTGGAAAGTCAGTAAATTTTCGAAAATCAAAATAAACATTGTGTTAAATATATGCAATCTAAACAGAACTGGAAAGGTTATTTTACATTTCGGATATACATTTCTATCTATAATAATTAATCTAGAAAGCGATAAGAAATATACTTTTGTATGAATTAGTGGAAAGGCATTAATATTGATTACAAGATAAATAAATTTTCGAGTATCTATGAAATCAAAAAATACGTTAATTCAGCTGGAGACATTCTTGGATAAATCTTTTGTATCTATAATAAAAGTCCGGCTTAAAAGACATTTGTGTCACAATAATGCTATTGGAAAGTTATGAATAAATTCTAAGCAAATTCTGGCATGTTATTTATAAACATTTCACAGATACATTTGTATCTGAATGAATGTCTGGCTATAAAAATGTTGGTCTTTGTGAGACAGCTACGTTTATAGCTGTAATGATAGTCCGGCTGGAAAGTTATTTGTATATATTTATATGATATATATTTGACAGATACTTTAGCGCTCGATAGATAATTTGTTATAATATACATATTCTTTCTACTCATCGCTGCTATCGTGTCATAGGTTTTTTTCTTTATATAATATATTGAGGTTTTCAGTAGTTGTTGTAATTCAGATACTTTTATATCTCTCTCCGATCTGATATTTATGTCTAGATGATAAGAAATAGTTTTCCATTTTCTGTACTTTTTTTTTTTTTAGATATTTTGTGTGAAATTTGCGTGTCTCACAAGCAGATGGATTTTGAAAGTTATAATTAAAGCTAAGTAATGAAATTTTGCTGTTGGGTGGATCAAAGTGTTTAATGCTAGATGCGAAAGCGTAAACAATAAGTAAATATAACAATTTAACTACAGTAAAACGTAATGAAACGAAACGAAACGAACGAAAATTAAATAAAAACGAATCGAAACGAAACAAAACGTTGGCGATTCAGTAACTGGGAAGGGCCCAGTGTTTACCCTTCAGATAGACGCGATTCGCAATTGTGATGTTCATCTCGTCGAGGACCATGCTTGCCACCTGCCTAATTTCCATCCAATCCTTGACAATATCATCGAGCGTTGTCTGTGCCGAGGTGATCGTGAACCGGATAACATACTGTCCCTTCAGCGAGGAGGGCACACAGTGCTGATTGCCCCGATAGTTCAAACGCTTCAGCAGCCGCTCGGTGATCTCATTGTCGCCGCGTATCCGGAAGACAACCAGACCCAGATGCCGCTTGGCCGGCAACTCGAACCGATGATCGGCCAGCACCAGAGCCTCAAACTTCTGCGCCAGACGGACACCCTCCCGGATGTGGCGCTGCAAGCCCTTGATGCCAAAGGATCGGAGCACAAACCACACCTTGAGCGCACGGAAGCGACGACTCAGCGGTATTTGCCAGTGCATAAAGTCGACGGCCACGCCGGAGTTCTCGTGCTGCAGATACAGCGGCTCCACATTGAAGGTGCGATGCACCGCGGTGCTGTCACGCACCCACATCGCAGTGGCATCAAAGTGCACCATCAGCCACTTGGAGGGATTGAAGGCGATCGAATCGGCTCGCTCGATGCCACGCAGCCAGGTGCGAAACTCGGGACAGATGAAGGCGCTGCCGGCATAGGCAGCATCCACATGCAGCCACAGGTTGTACTCCCTGCACACGATGCCGATCTGTGTGTGAAATCAATTGAAGCTTAAATTGTTGACTGTATCTGCATCTAGCCACGTACCTCATCCAGATTGTCGAAGCTGCAGCTGCCCGTGGAGCCGAGTGTGGCACACACCTGCAAAACAATTCAATTATAGAGTTATTTTCACGGCTCTGTTTAATTACATTAAAAACAGCAACGAAAAAATTTAAGATATTGCAAGATACGTTTTAAATAGTTAAGCTTATTTTTAGAATAATAATATTTAAGATTTAGTATTAATTGATAGATTTAAGAATTGATTGATTGTGTTTTTCTGATTATCCTCAATTTCTGTTGGGCTATTTTAAATTTTATTAACCTTTAAATTTTTTTAAAGTCCTAAATTTCATTTTAAAATTAATTTGATTATTCACTTTTAATTTTGTTTAATTTGTTATTTAAAATTTGGATTTAATTTTAATTTTAAATTTGAATTTATTTAAATTTTCTTTTTTAATTTTCAAATTGTAATTTAATTATTCACTTTTAATTATGTTTAATTTTATTTTGAATATTAAATTTAAATTAAATTTTAATTTTAAATTTGGATTAATTTAAAGTCTTCTTTTTTTAGTTGTGGACTTTTTAACACCTTAAATCTAATTATTTTATTTAATGACAATTAAAAAGAGTTGACACAAAAAAAAATACAAAATATGAAATATAACAAATAAATTAAAACAAATTTTAATATTTAACTCTAAGTAAAATAAATAATGAAGTTGATAATATCTCTGGTGTTAATTAATTGAAAAATTTGCTGAATGGCTTGGTGGAAAAACAGAAACAATCCCAAATCAGACCAGAAATCAGGCAAATAGTTAGTATATATAAACGAATAAAAAAATAAGAATTATTAAGCAGAAATTAAAATGTTAGCCAAAACAGGTGTCTAGCAGATCGAGTAAGACCCAAGTTGCCAGTTAAGCGTTAAGTTAACAAATGTCGGAAAGGGGGTGGCGTAAATAGGAGCGCCTGAAATGATATCAGACACGCTACCAGGTACAAATCTAAGAATCAGCCGAGCAGTGGACGCCCAAGTGCTGATGGTTATTAATTAGCTCCGGTGGGAAAAGAGAGAATTAGAAATAGACGCAGCTGCTGCTGCTGCTGCTGTTGCTGCTGCTGCTGCTGTTGGCCCACAAATCCACTCAGCGCCTAATTGCGCAACGGCGACGGCCAATTAATTTTAACAAGACAAGGCAAGACAAGGCAAGACAAGACAAGAGAAGACAAGAGAAGACAGGAGAAGACAAGTGAAGACAAGTGCAGACTTACCCAGAATGGGACCAGGCCCTGCTTAATGTCGTCCTCGATGGCGTCGCGCAACGGTTTGCCCCGCATGGCCAAGTCCTCGTCAGCCTCAATGTAGCGCATACGCACGAGTCCTGTGGGTGCAAGGATTAATGGGTAGTTTATTGTTGTTGTTGTTGTTTTGTTTTGTTTTAAGCGGATTACGATTGCGACTCAGAACTCACCAATGAGTGCCGCCTTCTCCACGCTCGAGTGCGCCTGATCCGAGCAATAGGCCACGAGGCGGGCATTTATTTCGGCATCCTGATAGCCAGAGTGATGCTCATGGAAACGCTGGATGGCCCGCGTTCGTCCGGCGAGCAGGCAGACAAGTGTCGCCTCGCTGGCCGTGGTCTGCAAAACGCCGCCGCCCTGGCAATTGTTGCTCAAATGGAGAAACTCATCGGGCAGCCCAATCATCTTGCCCAGCCAGTTCATCACAACGATTTCCAGTTCGGTGCAAGCCGGCGAACTGGCCCAGGTGAAGCCCAAACAATTGATTGCATCCGCCAGCATATCGCCCAGCAGCGATGGCATCGAGTTGAGGGCCGGAAAATAGCCGTGCATATGCGGTGACTGCCAATGAGTCACGCCGGTCATTATAATCGGCTCGATATCGCCAAATATCTTTTGCCACGACTCGCCCTCAACTGGGGCCGACTCCGGCAGCAGCTGACGCATATAGCCGGGACTCACATCGGGGAAGACGCGGCGCTCGCGTATATTCTCCAAATAGTCAGCGATATAATCGACCATCTCCTTGCCTGCAATAGCCAGTCAATAAAATTGTCAAAATTGTGCATTATAATTGTTTTTAAACTTTTATTAGCATGCTATAAGGCCTTGAAATCGGTCGATACTACGCCAAAGTACAGGCCCCCCACGAATTCGCCGATTATAAAAATCATTAAATCTGATTGCCTGAGCTATCAAGCCAATTATGTAATAAACGTCTTTTGTAGAGGGGCCTATCATAGATAGGTATTTGCAGAAATTTTATGGCACTCAATATTTCGGCGAATCAATAAAAAAATCTTAAGAATGCCGAAATTTAATTGCTTAAAGTTAGCTCCAAATGAAATTATCTTTCATCATTTATTAAACGAAGAGCTCATAAAGAAATTTTGAGAGATTTCTTCAAATATTGAAATTACAAAATGTAACCAAAACTATTTCGAAATATTGTTCAATTAAATCAAATTATTTTTCAATTTAAAAATTGCATGGAAATCAAATAAATAATACTTTAATATAATTTAAAACTTGGTTATTAAATATTCATAAATTTAAGGAAATAAAACAAATATTGCTCCACTAAATGAAACGAAATGAAATACGATTATTTGTCACACAGTTTTTAATGGAATTGAAATAGTTTTTAGCAAAATCAACTGCAACTAAATGAAAACTGATTAAATCAAGATATACGACTCAAGTTATTTGTATGGATCTGGACAAATCCCTTTAGCGCCGGAGCGTATGCAAATCAAATTAAGCCAGCCAGATACAATTGTATCTGGGCATAGCAACAAATGTATCTGAGCTGCCGCTGTGCGTTTTATGGTCACTTACCCCTTTGCCGATATTCCTGAAAGTCCATTGCGATGACGTCTGTAGCTGATATTTATGTGTGTGTGTGTGTGTGTAGTTGTGTGTGGGTGTTAACCAATATATTTGTAGCTAAAAGAGTAGCGTTGGCTATTATCCTTTATCAGCTCCGACTGGATGTATTTGTTTTGGTTTTTTTTTTGTTATATATTTTGTGTAACTGTTGCTCGTTGCTATATGTGCGCCATTATCTGCCAGAAGAACGGATGGGATTTAGTGAGTTTAGTCAAGTTTTGTGTTTTGTGTGTCAGATTCAAATGGCAAATTGGAACGTCGACCGCTGACTGAAAATTTAGACAACTTGGACGTTAGCTGGCGACATTGTGGGGCTTCATTCTAATTGGAAATGAAAAGCGCAAAGCGTACAGTGGAACGACAACGACGCGGCGAATCAATTGTGTATTTGGCTGGGAAACGTGGCCAGCTGTAAAAACAGGGTGTTGGGCGTAGGGTTGACTGTAGGGCTGACTGCTACGGTTTTATTTGGGGTTCTGTATTAACCTCGTTGAGCGCCACAGGTCGTCGGGGTGTAAGTGTTGAAAAAAAAAGGGTTTTTTTTTCTTTTCGTTGTCAGAACTATTAATTATGACTGCACAAATATTTGGACAATTTTCACGTTTGGCAAATTTTGGGAACTGTTTGAATTGATTGCTTGGGGCACTCGTCTTTTATATGTGTGCCACACAAATATATACAATAATTATAATGACCAATGACCAATCAACAACTTGTGTGTGTCTCATGTGTTAACAGATTGTCCGTCCACTATGACTGCAACATGCAACAATTGTTATTACATGTTATATATAGATGATAGATCGACGCTTCCGATTCGTCAACAAAATTCCGTTTAAATGTTGAGCGCTATTTAATTGTTTATGCTGGTATTCAATTCTATTGTTTTAAAATGCTGTCAATTTAATGATTATCGATGCAATCGCAAACATTGTTCAAATACTATAAAATAACAACTATATCTGCGCATCCAAAGTGCGCACCTGTCCGATTGAACTACATTTTGTCATGCATTGATGCAATTAATTAGAACAAACAACAAGTATTTAAAAACAACAATTGGGATTTAACTTATATAACATATCACTAAACACTTGCAACGATCTTCAGGAATCTATCTGCAATTTTAATTGGGCACTGACAACACAAAAACATATAAATACGGAAAATTTAATATTACCTTTATATTTGCGTTGAAATTCATTAATTATAGAAGCTCATGGCTCATATATTTTTATAGACAAATTTTTATATATTTATTTATGTATTTGTTACTTGTTTTATTTTTTTTCTTTGCTTTCTTAACGGGTAATCAAACCGAACAGATTTAAGACTTTTGTACTTTGACCAGCTGGAAAATAGGTTAATGCGCAGATGGCTAAAACGGAAGGAGCAGAACTAATCGCCACAACTTTATTAACACTGAAACAATTCACCAATGTCATTTCTTTTTTATACTCTGACAGCATTTGAAAATGAGGAAAAGGTTTTATGAATATGGCGCTATCAGCGTTTTGATAGCTCAACATCATATTAATAACACATAATAATTTATTAATAACAGAACGACGAATTTATTTCTTTATGCTTATATGAGATGCAACTACCAAGCCTTTCAAAAACGAATGAAAATGTAAACAAGATAGAAGAGCGAAAGTAATAATACACTCAGGAAAAATCAACCCGAGGAATTATCTGGTTTTTAAAAAGATTTAAATAAAAATAATAATTTATTACATACAATTGTAAATATTTCCATATTACATTATTTGAATTAATAGAGGATAAAAATAAGCTAAAATAAAAGTTATGTTTATGTATGTTCGAAAAATCACAGTGGAAATACACAGTTTTTCTAAATTTTAAATTTTAAAATAAAAAAAAAAAACATTGCGCAAGTTTCAGTTTTAGAAATGTATTTTCTGAATAATAAGGCAAGCAACCCTTCACGCCGAGTATATGGCAATTATCTACAATTCAGTTGGTTTTTTTTTCTGAGTGTACGGACGTGACTGTAACTGTTGACGCAACAGCGAGAAATTGGCCAGAACGGACCATAACATTTAGATGACATGGCAACAAACGGACTTTTATTCTTATTTATAATTAGCAGATGATCTACGTTCGGCAAGGGTGTATGGTCTTCGGTGTGACTAAGACCTGTTCTCCTTATTGCTTTATTGTTCTCTCTTTATCAATAAACTAGGCCAGTAATACAATTAAAACCACTATTATAACGTACATTGAGCATTTTTTTGATGGAATCACTTTCACTTCATGTTTGGAACTTGTTCACTTTCTGGTTATTTCAAGTCGACATTATAAGAAGAAAATTATTAAATAAATTAAAATTATAATTTAATATTAAATTAAGTTAATTTTTAAATTACTAATAAAATTCATTTTAATTCATTTTTTAAATAAAAAATAAATAATAATTATATTTAATATTAAATTATATAATTTAATATTATAATTTAATATTAAACTAAGTAAATTTTGAAATTACTAATAAAATTTAATTTCATTCATTTTTTAAATAAAAAATTAATACTAAATAATAATTATAAAATTGTTGGGAGTATTTAATTGCAAAATTTGCGAAATATTTGTTGAGTGGATTGGGGAAAGCCCAGAAAAAATCCAATCATATTAAAAAAATAGAATAAATTAGTTAAAATGTCTAACCGCAAATGTTATTTATTTATATTTGAATGTAAATAAAGTATTTTTAAAGGTTATTCAATTATATTTTCAAAAGTTATATGTGAAGTCATCGCCCAGATATAAATAAAGCTACTGAATTTTTGAGTATTCAATAATAATAATAATAATAATAAAACTTAATCTGAATCTGACTTTTTCCCAATCTATGCAACAAATGTTGGAACAGTATTGCAATTAAATAACCTCAGAAATCTGAAAAATTAGTCAAATATTTTTTTGTAAACTAAACAACATTTTATTGTTGATTTAATTCAATTTAGTTTTTATATTTTTATATATTGACTGATATTAGCCAACATTAAATAAACAATTAAATTAAATAAAAATTCTCAATGTCTGTTTTTTTTTTTAGTTGTCAGTTCTACACGATATTTAATACAGCACAGAGCAGATTATTTTGTCTCTTTCATTTACCACTTCACACACAAGCTAAAATTATTTGCAAATGCGTCCTATTTGACAGTCAGTTTGAAACTAGGAACTTTAATATCCGACAGGCCCTATTTATACCCCAAATTATTTCGTCCTGGTTCCACAATCAATTCAACAAATTGTGTGTCCCTGTGGGAAATGAGCAAGTTCTTATTAAAAAAAAAAAAGTGGTCGGCTTGCTGAACTTTGTATGCACTTTATTTGAACGTACATTTGAATAAATAAATAAATAAATAAAATATAACAAAAAGTCTTATATATCTATAGAATAAAAAAAATGTATTATAATAGTTAATTTATAGTTAGTAGCAATTCAGTAGCAACTAATATCGTAATCCACAAAATAACTGAACTATTTCGTTCAGAAATCAGTGAATTAGTTTAAAATTCCATTCTAAATCAAATATACTAATACCATAAAAATAATTAATTAATAAATACTTATTTTAAAAATCCAAGCACTCATGTATCTTGACAACTCTCATCAACAAGGGTAAAAACACAAGAAACTGGTGAAGCCAGAAAGGACGCCGAACAAAAGGACATCGCAAAGGGAAGAAAAATGGACACAGCCAATGAGAGCATTTCGCTTTGGAAATCCGTTGACCAATCAGCGCTGCTCGTTTATACGACTACTACCAATGTATTCCATGCTGCAGACTATTTTATCAGACAACAGGATAAATGTTGCAGACAATTAGAAACCAAAATGTTAAAAGCGAAGTTGGCAATGCTCTGCTTGAGTTCGTGTCAACTTTTCAAGTGTCATCGCGATTTTGTTGTGGCAAATGAAATCATTTACTTGCGTGTATCAGCTCAGAGAGAGAGAGAAAGATGGGGAAAGATACTTAACATATGTATGTAATATTGAAACATAAAATATCTGTTAAAGAACTAATAAATCAAATAATATGCTTACAAGCAGAAACACATATATACACAGCAACAGCAGCAGAAGTTCTAGCTCCTGCAGCTGTTGTCTACAAAAGCTTATTACACAGTTACAACGGCGACGACGACGTCGACGACAGCGTTGGAGGTCAATGAGCTTTGCTTGTTACTCGTCTCAGAAATTTCGTCAATATACCGCTACATTCAATGGCTTTTGCACGTCTCTCTCTATCTTTCTCTCTCTCTCTCTCTCTCTGTCTATCTCTGTCTCTGTCTGTGTGTGTGTATATTTATTTGTTTTATTTGTGTGCGTGCGTATTACCAAATATTGAGCAATATAACAAGAATTTCAGTTTCTTTTGGCTTTCTCGCGACAGTTACAGTTACAGTTACAAAATGTATGTAAAACGCTCCAACGCCCCAACAACGCTTGCCTCTCTTTGTGTCTCCCTCTCTTCGAGTGAAGCTTTTGATGCACATTCGTTTTGAAAGAAATGATTGCTAAAAATACTTTTGCGTTCAGGTTATTTTCATAAAAATTCTTTACAAAATGCATGCCGCATGAATTTTGATTGTTTAACTGCGCTTCGCTCTTAACGCGCGAGCGTTCTCTTCGCTGTGCTGTGGAGACAGTTGAGCCCTCTCTTAATTTGCTGCTGATCATTTTTTTTAGCTTTCTCTGCGCCGACTTTCTTTACGCTCTTTTTGCGCGCGCGCTCTCTCTCTTTATGTGTCTGCTGATTGGCTCTTGATTGCGCTCGCTTCACTCGCTCTCTCTCTCTCTTTCTCTCTCTTCTTTCTTTCTGGCATGCTCAGTTTTTCGTGTTTTTGTGTTTTGATTCCATTCTTCTTCGCTAAGAACGTTCGTTGACCTTTTTGCTTGTGGGGCTGGTTGCGGCGCTGCTCGTTGTCGTCGTTGCTTCTTCTTACTGCTGCTGCTTCTGCTTCTGCTGCTGCTTCTTCCCGCTTAGCGGTACTTCTTAACCTGTTTCGCTGCTGCTGCTGTTGCTGCTGCTGCTGACTTGTGATAAGTTTTCTCTTGCTGTCTATGTGTGTGTGTGTGTGTGTGTGTTTACTGTATAAGTCTTCCTGTTTATTTTACGATTAAAGTTAAAGGTGTGCTTTTTTTTGTACGTTTGTAACAGCACGTAGGTGTGTGTGCATGGGTGTGTGTGTGTAGCTGCAGCTGGAGCCTACTGCGGTGCTCAGCTTCG